CCATAATGCTTGCTCATTAAGTCAGATTTTATCAAAAACATATATGGAATTTTCCGGAAGAAAAGTTCCCGAAAGAGGGATTTCGAGAGCAGGCAAACTTTGGCTCTATATCATGTGGCTGTCACTGGAGAAATTTCGCAAAACAAGCCTTTTCGTGTTTGGCTAGGGTATTAGAGCCTCCTGCCACGCCCCTGCCCCCGCCAGTGCCCACCCCGCCTTCCTACGAGCAAAAACTGGCTGCTGGCGGCAGCGACCGATGTGCGAATTTCGCGCAAATAAATTTAATATCTGACGCAATCTGCCACGAAAAACAAAAGCCCGAGAGCCAAAGCGAACCGACAGAAATAAGTGAGAAAAACCTACAAAATTTGCGCGCGATGGCTGTTGTGTTTGGTGTTTTTTTTGTTTTCTGAAAATTCTGCCCGCCATTGGCGAGCAACAAAGAGAAAGCGATGGGAAGGTAAACACGTAAACGTAAACGAATTTGTAACTCGATGATGTCGGCATCGCAGCTCACTTTGTGCGCCGTGTCCCAATTTCATTATGCAAAAATCCGGTGAAAGGCAGCGAGCACTGCGACTAGAATGCGCTGCGAAAATGATTAAACAAAACACAGGAAACGGCATCAAAATATGCGAGGGTGCTTATATATCGCGGATTCTCATTTCGTAAGTAAACACAAATCCGGTGAATTGCCTAACAATATATGTATTCCGAATCAATGGGAAAATATTGCTGTGATTAGCGCGATTTTAGTGTTTTATATAGCAAATAGCAAATAGCACAACCATATACATTTTTGAAGCCCCTGTTTCCTTGCTTAATTTTTCCCTAAAACTGTATTTTCTATGCAATTCAAGGGTAAATGATATTGTATCATGTAACTAATCGAACTTATTTTGACACTTAAATCACTGCGAACGACAGTCCACTTAGTGACGAAGAAGACCACACTTAGAAAACCTAATAACGAATCAAGGCAATATTCAGCTGATGTTTTGGTAGTTCGTTCTTCACTGTTAGCTTTTAGTAATACAAAAATGTTTGTAGTAAAATCCTTTGCTCTGTCATCAAAGCCCTGTCATACCATTAAGTTAGTGCCTTGAATAATTTCCATAGCTCAGCGAAATTGACGATAAAAATGTGTGTCTCCTAAGCCCTGAAACAGAGATTCAGTCCCTCTTGGGTCTTTAATCATTGCCAAATTTTAAATATTCGGCTGGACGTCGTTGGCCATCTCTTGTCACGGCATTTGCTGCCGTATAACATTTTTATTGCCCTTACTTTTAGCTGTCCAGACTTCGTCCCATCCCCTCGAACCACTGCCCTTGTTGTTTTCTGACTTCATTTCATTGAAATGTAGAATTTTTATGACACTTTTGCGTTGCGCTGCTTTGCTGCAAATATGCAAATGTAGCACCCAGTCTGTTTGCCACGCCTACATTCCTCCATGGGCCGACAGCATGTACAGCCTCCCAAATAAATTTATATGAAAAATGCCCGTGTTTAAGTTTTTTACGCGGCTAGTACACTCGAAAATTTAGAAAAGAAAAAATGGAGAATTAAGGGTCGTAAATTGAGGAATTATTAGCAAAACTTTTCGGAAACAAAGAAAATGCTTGTGTTTTGGGTAATAAAAATTATTATTGTGACAAATAATGAAATTCATTGTGGCAACAAATTTTCATACATTAAAAATAATTTGGTGATGTAATATTTCCAAGCGCAACAAAAGCTTATGATATAATTTTTATAAAAGTCTTTTAATCGGTTATATTGAGTTTTGATTTCAGGACAATCGGTTATTCATTCAACTTTTTAATAACAAAAATGTTCGCATAATTTTGTTGGGTGCAAGAGCAGGAGGCGGACACGGAGGGCGGTAAAACGTGGGCGTTGCGGGCTGGCAGTGAAAATATTTATGCATTTGGCCGTGAGGCAGTTTGAAAACTCAGCTGATGAGCCTTGGATGGAAGAGATGGGTGGTGGGTGGTCGGTTGTGGGTGGTGTGTGGATAGCTGGTGGCTCTACGGTTAATGGGTGGCAACGGAAATTTACTTTTTGGTGGGAGCCGAGAGGCTCGACGCTTCGACATTTTTGGCTAACTCGAACCATGAGCTAAGATAAGAGTCATAAAGTTTGTCGCCAGCGCACAAAACCAGCTACTCATCTGAACTGCGATAGGTACACTGGCAAGAAAGCAGCTATAAAATGTTATAAATAGTTTTTATTGATAATACTTAAAGATGGGATCGCAAGCAATGATTGTTCATTTAATATAATAATTTATTTATTCGCAAAAAAATAGCTTTTATTGTTTTGAGCAAAAAAATAATCATTAAATTGTGATTTTAATTATATCAATTAGAATGCTTTATATATAAAATAGGTTCTGACCCATCAAATATATATTGTAAATAAGTTAAACTGTTGCCCAAATAAAAAAGCTTTAGACTTGCGCTATTTACTTGCCCTAAAGGTGTTAGAGAAGAAATAAAGCACTATAATCACCAAAGGGAGACCCACTTTGGCATTGATTTCGGACTAAGGCGACTTGCGACACGTGCTTAAACATATATTTGCACACCTTTGCTTAAGACTTGGGTGGCCATCATTTGAACATTAGGCACTTTCAATTCTCCATTGGGCGACGGCGCAGAGCCGACGACAAAAGCAGAGAACTTTAATTAAATATCCATTTCCGGTGCGGCATTCGATCCGTGCGAGTGTGTGGTGTGTGGTGTGCTTTGTTCTGCTGTGTATTAGTCGGTCTTTGATCTGTCAAACGGCAGAGCAGGCAAAAACAAAAAAAACAAAAGTGGAAAAGCCACAGGAAAACTCATTTACTTGACCAGTGGGCAAGGGGGGCGTGGCACAAGGGCGCCGCCGATAGCGTATGCATCGCACACTGACAAGATATATGATGGCAAACTTTGGCCAGCTTGCCTGGCTTTTTGTCGTTTGCCGCTTTGCTCGCAGGCAAATGGTAAAAGTTTGACGCCATCCCCCCCTTTCTCCACCTTTCTCCGCCATTCTCCATGCGTGGCATTTGAAATGCTAATGGCAGATGAGCTTAGGCCAAGAGTCAGAGCCAGATACAGATACAGATACAGATAGAGAGGAAGAGCCATAGCCATAGTCATAGCCATAGCTAAAGTCTGAGTAGAGACCCTGATTCGAGGCCTCATAATTGAATGTTGGGCCAGTGCAGTAGGGTGTCCTTTTGTAAGCCGGCCCCAAGGGGCAAAGGTCAGGGGTCAGGGGTCAGGGGGTGAAGGGACCAAGGACAAACTAGTTGGCTAACTAATTTAAATATCATGAATTTAACATAAATATATATATGAGGGAAAAGCAGGCAAAAGAGACAATAGGGCCACATCTCATATTTCATATCGGAGCGATCTGGTGACCCCTTTTGTTGCAACACTGTTTGCTGTACGACAGCAGCCAAAATAAATGCGAAATGTTGGTCGGAATCTACATACGCAAATAGTGAGCGTTCTTGGGGGATGGCACACCCATTTCCCAGCTCCCCAAGTCCATTGTACGTGCTTGGATGTGGGGAAAACAAAACTTTCAATGGACTGGCTGGCAAGTCAGCCCCCAAAATGTCAGCTCTTTAATCAAAGCCAACTCCCTGTTGCAAAATATTGTTCTACCCCCCAAAAGAGAACAAAAATCGAACTGATCAGCCAAAATGAAAACTTTCCCTATCTGTCCACAAAAGAGGGGCGTCATTAAAGGCATATAAATAATTTTGTCTTTGACTTGGACCTGGCTTCTATGGCGCTCGCCTTTGCAATAAATTTAAAGCTGTCTCTGGCGATGAAATGCCCATCCTGCTTCCGATTAACCCACCCGCTGTCAGTCTGTTTTTTTAATTTTATTTTCGTCGTGCTCTACTTTTAGTCCCAGCTAAGCCGGAAGGGATCAAACGGTTTTCCCCGCCCAGCAACAGCGACACAAAAAACCGGGCAGAAAGGAAAGAAATAACATTTCGACAGCTGCCCCACTGGGTGGTTGGGTCGCATTTGCTTCTTTTTTTTCTCCTTTGGGTCAATGAGCATCAGAGGTTGACTGCATAATTTATGAACATAAATGGGCGTGACAAGGGATTAGGGAGGCGGGGCATTGCGGGGCGAAGGATTGAGGGTCAACTAATGACCTGGCGCACTGCTAAATGCATGGAAACTGTCTGCGCCAGAGCGAATAACAATTAATTGGAAATATGGCTTAGCCCAGAATTAGCTCAGCGCGGCGGCCCCTCGTTTGCGGATTTGAGCCAGCGTGTTAAGACTTCGTCCTGGCAATTAAAAAGCGGAATAAGTTATGTTGGAAGCACCAACGCAGCGATTAGATTAGCATTGCCTTTCGAACTCTTCTAACATCTAGAGCATTTCAAATCTTAGGTATTTGAGCAACATGAAGAAAGTGAAATTTAATGATTTTCTTATAAAAACAAGTAGCATGCTTAATCAGTTTAACCAATTAAAACTGTTATACAGCTATCCAAGTAAGAATCAGCCCACATATCAGGAGTCTTAAAATATATCCTATAAAAAAAAAGTTTGTACTCGAATAAAATTTAATAATAACAAATAAAAATGTTTCCACTACAGATATATTTTTTAAAAGGCATATAAGATTGGAAAAATTGCTTAAAATCAGAGCTTCAGCAACAATTCAAGCGAGGGATTCTTTTTTACAATGCGGTTTATTAGAAGTGCTTTTCAGTAAAAATAAAATTAATTCGAAATGTCGCCAAACTTTGGATGGAACCTAAATTTATATTGGACTTTTACTCAGGAGTACCCACATATTATGAAAAAGTTCAAATTGGTGTTCAATTTTTTTTAACTGAATTCCGTTCACCTGTTTAATGTAAATATATAAATATTCTTTAACACATAAATACTGACATCAGGTATTTGTAGCCATTATTTCGAGCAGATCACATAGACCGGGTCAAAGCGCTCGGAATTTCAATCGCTGGAGAGCCCGCTTTAAGCAGTTCATAACGTTTCGTTGAAGCTGACACACACACCCTTTCGGCCTTCCAAATTCGAGCTTAGAGCTAAGTCTTAAAATCGCAAAATAAATTCATAGAAAATTAGTTAAACTTTCAAAGGCATTGCGAGTAAACCTCCAGAGATGACCTCCATTTTGGTGCTGCTGTTCGCCAGCGTTGTGCACTTCGGAATGCGCGGCAGCTGTCTGCTGGACTTGGAGCGATTCCCAGTGGTGCCGGGCACCGTCTTCGCGGGCCACATCGCCTACTGCGCCGTCCTGCACTTCCTGCACGACCTGGAGGTGCTGCCGACGAGCTACCGCCGGCGGATGGGCTGGCTGGCCGCCTTCCTCATCGAACTGGTGCTGGGCATAGCCGCCATGGAGGTCCTGGCCCTGTGGCTCTGGTGCAGCGTGGAGCACATCCTGCACCTGGCGCTGCAGTTCGTCCTGCGACGCTACGCGGGCATCTCCGCCGATCTCTACCAGCGCTGGGAGTGGGCCATCATGGGCGGCCTGATGACCTCGCTGGCGACCTTGCTCTGGCTGAGTGCCTACGAGGCCACGGATATACGGGACAAGCAGACCAAGGAGGAACAGAAGGAGCAGGAGGAGCAGCTGCACCTGGAAGTCCTGGCCACTGCCACCGATTGCTAGCCACCTAGGAACCCCTCATCTGCAACCTTTTGATGTGGCCACCCATTCCCCATGGCTTCGCCCTCGATTAGATGAACGATCATGCTGCGAGGACCGGAGGAGGCAAATGTATTTATTCCAGCCAGATGGACTCGAAAAGCTCTAAAGACCGTTCCAAAGGGTGCTGGGGAAGGGGGCGCGACACGGAAAGGGGCGGGGCAAAATGATGGACTGCAGTAAAATGTCTATGAAAATTGACTTGGTGTCCTGGCATTGAGAGGCAGTCGGGCGGAAGGAGCTGCCAGCGACTGGATGCGCGTCAATTGACAAATTGTCGACTGGCCTGGCCTGTTCTGGCCTGGTCCTCTACTATATTTCTGTGTCCCCGGGTCTGTTGCCGCGAAAAGTCATCAGAACTTTTGTCTAATTTCATTTCGTTTCACTTGAAGGCCAATTTTTGGTTTTTATTATTCATACAATTTCTCGCAGCGCGATTTAAGCGCTTCCAGCATTGCGTATACGCAGTGTGGTTCAGGGAATTATGAATTTTCATCCACTCTGTGTTTCGCTGTGTGTGTGTGTGTGTGTGTTGAGGAGTTTATATGTGTATGCCTAAGCAAACAATAGCCGAGCAGAGCTTTTGTTTATTCTTCCTCCACTGTTGCTTACGGCCACCCACACAGATACATAAACACCCATACCGATGCGAATTTCGGTGCGTGTTCCCTTGACGGTACACCCCTGCCCCCTTTTTGTGTTGTGTATTTATGGAAACATTGCTCCGAAAATATTTTAAAGACGACCAACTTGGATGAAAGAAACGAGAAACGAGAAGCGAGGGATGCTGGGTGCCTCTAATGGGCGGTGTGCAGGTGGGGGCCACCAACCTCGCCAGACACTGGAATTGATGATAATACCACATACCAGCGTCGCTGCCGAATACACAAATTCCGGCCCTTTACGGAGCTGAATCGGAGTCCCAAAACGGGACAGCGCAACTGCTGACTGGCGGATTATTGAGTGTCCAAAGATGGGAGCGGCGATTGGCAGAGAGGTCCTGGTCGAAAAACCCTGAAAGACGTCTAAGGATATTAGGCACAACTCCACTGTTGGCGATAAGACACGAAGAAGCACTTAAACAGCTGCTTAATATTGTATTGAGACATTTGTGGAATCATTTTCACTTGATTCTGCCAGCTCATTCACTGTAATATTTTTTAAATGGATTGTGGGCTCATATACACAAAGAATGAAGAAAAAAATAGTTTTTAATTTACTTTTTTAGTGTACATATATTTAAGAATACACACAGAAAATTTCATATCGTTGTGGTGAATATTTTTGAAGTTACACCCAAATTTAAAAAGGCGTTTGAGAGTGCTTGCAAGTACAAGTACAAACTTTAAACGCGTTTTTCTCAAAATGGTGTTTTCAAAGTGACCAACATTAACGGCTAGTTTGGTTAGTCTCTAATATTAACGCAAGCTTAAGTATTTTATAGTTATTAAGCAAAGTTTTTTTCTCATCGAATAATGTTTTTATTTCATTTAATTTTTATTTAATTTCAATAATTAATAGACCTAACATAACTCAAACGAAAACTTTTTGGTTTTTTTAATTTCGGATGATCCAGTTTAGTTTTGTTTTTTGAGAGGAGTTCTCGGAGATCAGCTCTCTTCCAAATAAATATTTTTCCTAATAAAAAGCCTTTAAAGAAAGTTAAAAGATGTGTGACCAAATTTTTAGATCAATAAACCATAAAGTTGTCTTAGAAAAAATTCTGTAAAATTCGTTTTTGTAACCCCTTAATGACTTGAAAAGTCCCTGCCAACTTACCCGTTTGAACTTACTATGTTAGATGTGTAAGTGCAAATTATTTAGGCAAATAAAAACACAAAACAATCTCCGGCGATCATTTGTTATCCAAGACCTTTTGCTTTTTCGTGCCACTGTCTTTCTGTCTGTCCATCTGTCCGTCTGTTTGTCTGTCTGTCTGTCAAGGACAAGGGTGTCCTTGGGCACAATGACGGAGCGGAGGCTAATTAGCATCGTCAACATGGGCCACCTTAAGGTCCCGTCGTCCTTCTATCCCTTTCCCCTCTTCACCACTTGGTGCCCCATCTGCCTGTTTGCAACATGATGCACGCTGCGCAGGACAGAAATGAGTTGGCCTAATGATGATACAGCAGCCGGTTGGCCAGCCCCGCCCACGACATGCAAAACGCCAACAATAAAAATGTCACTTTTGCGTGTTGGGCGACGGGAGGAAATCATTTTCACCAAATCGCAAAATGTACACAGGAAGCGGGAAATGCGGGAAATGCGGGAAATGTGGGTAACACTTTTGTGGGTGTGGGGAAAAGCGCTCTTATCATAAATCAGGAAAACCACTGGCCACGCCCCGCTGGACGGGGGCTAATTAATTAATTAACAGCGTCTCATCATCATCCTCGCCGCACTCTTAACTTCGTTGCGTGACAATTTCGTGAGTTTTGCATAAATTATTTGGCCGAAAGCGAATTGTCAGCAAAAACATGGCCAACAATTAGCGAATGCCACTTGCACCCAGTTTGTTATCGACACGGCAAGCACGCAAATTGCGCCTCGAAATTAATGCGATGGATGCACGATACTGGTACTCCTCCCGAAATGCCAGAGAAAGTACCCTCGAAAGTATCGTGCCTGGTGGCGACAAAGAATCGGCTGCTGCCCCCACCCCCCCAAAACCAACCCAAGGTAATCCCATTAAGAACACCTTGTTGCGATGCGGACGGAAGTTCCCCTGGCAGCAGTCAGCCGTAATGTTCATGCTAATGCCCCCCTACGACCGGTATCGAGCTGCCAACATGTAGTCCAATAGTTGTCACTGAATTCGGCCCGGCTTGATGGCGACAACAAAAACATCATGGTCAAAACTTTGGCCAAATACTATTGAGTAAGTATCGCAATATTTTGCTATATGCAAACATTGCTTTTGATTACACTGTGGAGCACGGAAAATATAACTGCATTTGGGTTTCAGATTCTAAAGACATTAAGACTTTGAGCAAAAAACAGTACGAATTAATATGAATAAGTTTTTTTTCAATACAAGGATGCGATACACACTTTGAAACAAGGGTTATACGGTCAAAAGCTATTGCTTATCATATTTAATATTGAGACAAAGAACAAATTGCGAAGGGAGAAGAAAAAATTGTATTTAGAAAACTTAAGGTGGGGAGACCGAGTTCATTACTTTACGCAAATTGGATTCGAACGGTACACAAAATCGTCACAACACGTTACTCCATTGCAAAGTTGCTTAACTAACAATATTATTATTATTAGTTTGGTTTTTTAAAAGAAAAAGCTAATACGAACAAAAAAAATGTATCATAACTTTATGAAGGTTTTACTTTTCAATAAAGAACTTTAAAAAATATAGGTACAGAAAATTTTAGAATATGTATTTTTACGTACATATTTTCGTTATCAATTGTTAGTTTACTGAGTAATTCATATGTTTTAAAACTTGTAGCGTTAGGAGGAAACCTTTACAATAATAAATAAATAAATAAATTGTAAATCCTAAAAAAAGTAATTTTGTATTTAATTATGTTTTGTAAAAGATTACACTTTTCTGCTATAAAAAAACCTTTGAACAACTTCAAATCGTTTCATTTATTCATATTGGTTTTTCGCCATCCACCGCGTTCTTTCTTTTGTATTATGTATATTTCAAAATTTAAAGCTAGAGCTGCTCGCTATAAAAGCATCAACAAGATTCTGCCCTAGTTACTTTTATATTTGAACGTACTCGAGCATCTTGACTTCACTTCTTCATATTTAATCTTAAGTTTCCACTTGTTTCGGTTTCTCGTCGATTTAACGTTCAATTGCCTTCCTCTTAGCCAAGTCTGAAATTTGTTCAGGAGTCGCTATTTTATGCCCTTGCATTGCACTTCCCCAAAATCCGGAATCCCAAAAAAAGTGCACAACTGTATTTAAACAAATTTGGTTTCACGTTTCTAAGTTAGGTTATTCTGTTTTTTATTTTTTATTTTTCATTTTTTTTCTGTTATTTATAACGAAGCCCAAACAAGTTTTAAAAATTGTTTGCAATTCGCTTCTGTTTTTGTTTTGCGGGCTTTTCGGTTGTGTTGCTGCTGTTGATATTGCTGTTGATGTTGGGCATTGTTTGGCAGCTTTATGAAAATTTTAAGCACATCAAATTTTTATGATTCTCAACAAGTGTCTGTGTGTGTGTGTTTGTGTGTGTGTGTGTGTGTGTGTGAGTGTGTGAGTGTATGCCCCAAACGAGGCAAATGAGTGGTTGGGGTGGCTAGAGTTGTGAATTTCACTGCGAGTCGCCCGCACACACAGACACCGAACATGCGGGGCTTCAGTCTTTATTGCCTCTGTTAATCCGCAAAAATTTGTAACGTATTCCAATTTGGTAATCGTCTGAATGTTTTTTGGAACGAGCAAAAACAATGTGCGGCGCACCGGGCTTGTGCAGAGTTTTAATTTTAATTCAAATTTCGTGTACCAGCAGAGGAATGTTTTGACGCTGCCCTAATGGACGATTCCTCAGTGCTCCCTCAATGCTCCCTCAGTGTCCCAACTATAGATATATGAGGCGGATTTAGTTGCAGTTTTAGTTGCAGTTTTAGTTGCAGTCTCGATTCCCGAAAACTGTTACCCTTAGCTGTTTTTCCTGTTACCGTTCTATAGCCAAAAGGTGGAAAACACCGCAGTGGTGTGTGTCCCCGGACTCGAATGTGTTCCAGTTTCCCAATTCCTGACCAAATTTCGCCCCGCCCGGAGGAAAATCCGTAAGCGGACTGTATCGCCTGTCACCTCCTCGTACGTGGGCCTCCGTTTCCAGTTCCACTTCTATCCCCACTTCCACTCCCACTCCCATTTCCATTTCATTTTCGGCAGTGGTCAGGCCTTTGTTTAGCCCTTCGAAATGAAGGGACTGACTTGTCAGCTGGCGCTCCTTTCGAAGGCATTGTGACATTGATTTTCGTTCGACAGACCACGGCCCACTGACGAGCTCACAATTTCGGGCATTTTGGCATTTTGGCATTTTCCCCTCACTCATCGAACCAGCGAGCTTTCCGAAGCGAGCTACTGGGACCAGATGCTACCTAATTGGAAAGTTCACATTGCTCCTTTGCGAAAAAATGCGGCATTATGTCGCTTTTGGCTTTTCCATTTTAGTGCCCTTGCCATGAGCGCTATGATGACCTTGAGCAGTTGGACTAACACTA